TATGGGATGTTGTGGCGGGTTAGGCTACCAGTAACTGCTCTGGTATTCAGATCAATGGCAGGGATGAGCAGTTAGTTGGAGACAGGGAACAAGACGTACATTTTAGGAGGTGTCTGTCAGTTCTCTGAGGGACCCACAGAGCCCTTCTCTGCTCTGGTGGCCATGGCCCCTCTCCCTGTGGAAATCAGTGACCCGCATGCAGGTCCTTCCAATAGCAATACAGGGGGGTAGGGAGGGGCTCACAAAAGGGAGGAGCAGTCCCTTTTCAAAGACTGCTAAAATGATTTTCTACCGTGTTATGCCAAGAATGTTAATAAAATTGCAAATGAAAAAAAAAAAAGAAAAGAAAAAAAAATTGCAAATGCATTTTAAAGTCACACATTCGATAGCCCCCCCTCCCCGTGGGGGGTCACGAAGTAAGAATTAGCCTGCGGCGACCTTGAAAAGACTCCCAACCCAGGTAGGTGTGAGGGTGGTTGGAGGGGAAAGGGCAGCCGTGGGATGATGCCCCCATTTCCTGTGCCTTACCCAGAGTCTGCAGGCTCCGGCTTCCAGACAGAAACATCCAGGTGTGGTTTCTATTAACAGTTAAGGATCTGAAGTCAGTCCCCTGCCCTGCGGGTTAGCGTACTCATTCTTTGGGGGCCCCTCTGTGAAGTGTGTGTGGAAAGAACAGAGAGGCTGTCCCCTTTTAGGACAGAGTCGCTTGAGAGCTTCTTAACTCTGGGCTGGATCCCTTCAGGGGATGAAAACTGGGGGCGGGATAGGGGGTGAATCCAACCAGAAAAAGGGCAAGAACTTGGACTTTCTCTTTTCTTCTTTGCCCCTAGAGAACCTTGGGTGGCACAAAGGGTTGATGTGCTTGCCCGCTAAAAGGTAGGAGGTTCACGGTCATGAAAAGAGGTCTTGTGGCCATCTGTGGTAGTTACATAATCTGGTGTCATTTTGAGGATTGAGAGTGTTGGGGTGGAGTCTAGCCTGTCGATTGGGATGTAGCCAATGTGGCCACTGTGTGGGCATGGCCTTCTCCTGAGGATTCTGGGAACTCCTGTATTTCCTCCTTGGAGGCTGCAGAAACTCGCTCTACGATTGACACTCTATTGACAAGACACATGGAACTACGCTAGAGCCTCACAGCTGGAAAAGCCATTTGGAGACCCCTGCCAGCGCTGAGATGCTTACAGCACCACTGAATCCACAAGACTTCCCACCCACTGCCCTGTGATCTTCCTGCATTCGGCATCATTGCCTGTGTTTGGTGAAGCTGAAGAGGAATTTATAGATTGGTATCGGACATAGGGGCTAATATTGGACGTAGGGATTTGATCTGGACTGGGCTGGGACGTTTTCTCAATATTCAACTGCTCATGTCTATAAAGCTCTTTCTTCTACACAGGGGTGTCTCTATGAATTTGTTTCTCTAGTCAACCCGGACGAACGCTCCATCTACTTATGAAAAATAAAATGAAACAAAAACAGCCCTCGCAAGCCCCCTGGGGCAGCGCTCCCCTGGCACACTCAAAATCGGAACCAACTTGGGTACAACGGGGCACTGCATTCTCAGGACAGAGAGGTGACACCAGCCTACCACATGGTGGTTTGGAGAGAACTCAATGCCATCGAGTCGATGTTGACTCGTAGTGACCCTGGAGGGCAGGGTAGGACTGCCCCTGTGGGTTTCCAAGACTGTAATGGTTTACTGGGGGTAGAAAGCCCATCTTCCTCCCTCTGAGCTGCTGGCGGTTTCAAACTGCCAACCTTTCCATTAGCAGCCCACCACCTAACTGCTGCCACGCTAGACGGTCAGAGAATGACCTTCCCTGAGGACCTTACAGTATATCAGCCATCATTCCTTTTTTCTGCCTCATTTAATGACCTTCCCTGAGGACCTTACAGTATGTCAGCCATCATTCCTTTTTTCTGCCTCATTTCTCCTCATCGTATTCGAAAGACCCAACATAGTTCTACCATCCAGGGTGGTGCTTGGCTGGGAACCCACCCGCCGCTCTGCCATGGAGACCCTTTATATGTAAATACACAGTACATGTAGCCTTGGAACCCCTAGGGGGCAGTTCTGCTGCTCTCTGGACACAGGCTGGGTTTTGGTTTTAGCATAGATTTGCTCGTTGTCGTATCCCCGGATTTTAGAAAAGAGCCTGGCCCAGACTGGGCACTGGATGCATGCGTGATGCGTGAGTTTGCGGGGTGACGGAATGCAAGCGAGAGGATGCCTGAGCCGCTCGCTCGCTTTGGCTCTCTGAGACCGCCTTGGTGGAGGATTTTGTGTCTTTACCCTCGCCCCAACAATCTCCCCCACCCCCTAGTTCCCATTACTAGTAAAGGCTAGAAGGCCGTGTTCTCTCCTCCTTCAGCACAGTCTTGGAGAGACAGTCGTGCGCGGATGAAATCTGTAGCTATTGGAAGGACAGCAGTAGGAATCGCCCACGGAGGGTTGACGAGATCCTTTTATACAGAGAAGAGTCCCCGCTGGTTGTTGGTTGAATCCTGCTCACTAGTCCCTCACCAGTGGGGGCTTTCAAGGAGTCTTGCTCATCAAAACCCAACAGGGCTTCCCTTCCTGCCCAGTCCGGTGGGTGGTTTCCACACTGCTCACACTAATGAGACTGATCCCTAACATTGACCTCTCTGACTACCTTTCTCCCAGCTGCTGTGTCCCCTGCGCACCCCGGTGTGGGGGAAGCCAAGACGGAGAGAGGGCCACCAGCTGCCTGGCATCAGGCTCTGTCCCCACTCACAGGGAGGACTCATGTCTGTCTGCCAGGTAGCGGTGGGAGGGCCTTGGGGAAGAGGGTGAGTGGCCTGTGGCATTCCATTCCAGGTGCCACCCAGCTGGAATCAGAGAAAGAAGCCACTGCCTCTTTTTGCTTCTCTGGTGTCGTTAGTAAGACTTTAATGGGCTGAGGCTTTGGTGGGTACTGACAGCAGTTGCTGGGAGGGGGTCCCTTTCATCTCTGTTTGTGTTTAGAAGGCGGGATTAGCAGCTGGGCCGGGTTTGAGTTTGGCTTCAGCAGCCTGCCAGCCTGTCACTGGGGAGTCAAAGCTGCAGGCACCCTTAGGGAGCCACCTGCTCCTGAACTTGACTCAGAAACGGCGCCCCCACCCCTGTGGCCTCAGGTGGACCTAGGACTTGCTGGAGCAGAAAGATGTACCTGGGCCCGCTGAAGGGCTGTGACAGACGAGACGTGGGTGGGTGTGAGGGCAGCAGCTAGCAGTTAAGAAATGTCACCAATTGGAGAGAGACCTGGGCTATCCAGCCCAGTGAGGCTATATGGTGTCCGCATGAGGCAGGGCGGTGGGGATAGGATGGGGTGGGTGGGTCTGGAATAGGGGTGGGCAGGGTGGGGAAGCAGGACGGAGGAGACCTGAAAGGAGCGGGTAGCTCAGGACCCTAGGAAGACCTGGTAGCGGGGTTGAGGCTGTTTGGACAAGGAAGCTCTTTGAAGCTTTTCTCTCATCCTCGCGACTGGGACCTGGTCCCCTCCCCTCCATAAAGCCATTAGCTTCTGGTGCCAGCCCTATCTCTGCTCCATCTCTCTCCTCTCGGTTCCAGTCTGCGCATTCACACACCTCCTGCCCCGAGGGATGGGGGAGGATTTATGGTGGGTAGAGGGTCGAGGGGGAGGAGGCGTCCTTTAGGGGAGGGGAGGTCGCTGGGAGAGTCGGTTGAGCTGGCTCTGCATGACAAAGGCGAAGAAGCAAGTTTCTTTCTTTGATCTGCACCCTGCGGGGCGCCACACACCTGCCTGTTGGTGCCCCCCCCCCCCCAATCTAGCTGAGGCCGGAGGAGGAAAACCAAAAAGGGGCCAGGCTGTGTCCCGGCTTCCTCCGATCCTGTTCGGGCCACCTTGCTTGCTTGGTGGCCCCAGGACAAACATAATTCCCAGGCTTATGACCCAAAGCACCTGCCGCCCCCTCCGGGAGCGCCTGGAGGAGGCCCAGAGCGGCGGGACCGGAGTGGTGAGCTGGGGGTGGGTGGGGGCCGTTCGGCACGAGCAGGTGGGTGGGTGGGTGTGTACGCGCGTCGGGGAGTGTTCGTGTGTCCAGTCTGAGGTGTTAAGGGGCCATGGGAAGAAGCCTCCTTGGGGGCATGGGGGTCACGCCCTACGTGGGCGTTCAGGGAAAAATGAGGTGGGGGTGGGGGTGAGTGGAGGGGGCGTGTGTTGATAGACGCCTCTGCTGTGAGCGTGGATTTCCGGCAGATATATGTTAAGGGCCCAAGGCAAACTTGTTTCTCGAGAGCGCAGGCGTTCATTACACAAAGTGCAAGGCCGCGAACGCGTGACTGTGGGAAGGAAGGCCGCGCCGGTGTGCTGTCAGGGCTGGGGTTGCTGCTTCTGGAAGATGGGCGCACACGCGGAGCCCGCCGGGCCCCTGTGCACCGCTCCTCCATGCGCCGCGGGCCTGGTTTAGCAGAGCCGGGGTGGGGGTAGGATGGGGGGTACAAGGTTGGGATTTGGAAACCTTGGTGAGGGTGAGGAGAGAGTGGATTGGGAGGACAGACCCCTGATAGGTGTAGCTAAACCCAACTCCCTCTTGATTTTTTTTTTCTCCCGACCGTGGAGAGCCAGATGCCAGAGAAATGCATCCCTGGGCCAGGGGGCGGACAGGATGGCCCTCCTCATTTCAGGGTTTTCTGGGTGAGGGGCTGCCAGGCAGGGATCCAAACAGCTCCAGTTTCTTTCTAAAGTCCTTGTGCAACAACTCTGCCCTTTTGTCTTGGGCTCCTCGAGTTGTTTACTTGGAATTAGGTTCTGTGGAGAGTGACCACAGTTTTGGATAAGAGGCACAGCAATTCCATGGTAGGAAGATAAGCAGTAAGAGATAGAGGTGGGATTCCATTGAGGGTATCAGACCTTGGCTCCAGGTCTACCCCAGAGCTCGTTCTTTGAACTTCCCCCTACCCCACCCTGCTCGCCTGGTCTGCCCCTATCTGTCAGTATTCCCAAATGGATTCTCCCTTCCTTTTCTGCCTTCTCCAGGGAGTCCCCTCTTGGAAGCTGTCGGTCCCCGGGGTCTTCCCAGGACGCTGCCGAGGGGTGAGGCCGACCATGCCTGGCCTGCAGCTGCTCTTCACGGCCGCTCTGCTCTCCAGCTGGGCTCAGCTTCTGGCCGAAGCCAGCTCCTGGTGGTGAGTTCTACTTCTCCAACCCAAGGCCGCCCTGTTCTGGTACCGGAGATGTGGAGAAAGGTCACCTTCCCTTGTGAACATTCCCTTATTTCTTGGGGTAGTAGAGGACTCTTCATTATTCCAGGAAAGCACAGAGCTCTTTGTCTCTCACAAGCTCCTGGGGGCAAAGGGTAAAGGACATCTAAGGTTATCCAGGATAAAGGACCCGGAACTTGGGTCTTTTTGCTCTGATCCTGCTCCCCGCAGCCCCATGGGTTTTTAGAAATAGCTTTTTCATTGCTATCGGATCAATAAGAATATTGATATCCTTTTCCCCCCTTGTTTCAAAAGATTGTTGTTTTCTTTTTAAAAATCATTTTTATTTGGGGGCTCTTACAGCTCTTATCACAATCCATCCATCTAGCCAGTGTGTCAAACACATTTGTACATAGGTTGCCATCATCCTTTTCAAACCATATTCTTTCTACTTGAACCCTTGGTATCAGCTCCTCATTTTGATATCCCCCACCCCCACCCCTGCCCCAGGGCAGGGAGAGCGGGGAGCCTGTTCTAAGAGCCTGAAGACCAGATCGCAGGGGCAGGTGTGGCATTCTTTCAGGCTCTTAAGACTTCTCGTCACTGTGGAGGCGCCCTGGAAATGGCAGCCCACCATCAGCTAGTTTGCATGGTCTGTGCCCACACACGTTTACTCAGACGGCACAGCTCCCACCCTCTCATTTAACTTCAGACTTTCTGGTCTCTGGTGGCCGAGGAGCAAAAGGGAGCTCCCCAGAAGCAGATCAAGAGTGGAGATGTGTCGTGTGAGACACGGAAGTGCAAACACGCAGCTTATGTTCGGATACATGTACTCTGGACTCCATTGTCAAGGCTGAACAGGGTTTCTATGTAAAGGAGTTGATTGCTTTTTATAACACATCCTGCATTTTGGGTGAAACCGAAGGAGCCCCGGAGGTGTAATGGTTATGCATGGGCCTGCTAACTGCAAGGGCAGCAGTTCAAAACCATCAGCCAGCTCTGCCAAAGAAAGATGGCATTCTACTCCTGTAAAGAGTTAGTCTTAGAAACTCACAGGCGAAAGAGGTTCTGCCCTGCCCTGTAGGGTCTCGCTGAGTCACAATGGACCCGATAGCAGTGAGCTTTGGAGTTTTGGGTGAGACAAAACAGAGTACTCCTACTTGAATACATCACGTGTCTTTTGCCCTCTGCCTCAAATGAACAGCCCATCCTCCCTGGCTGCCACCCACTTGTCCCCACGCTTCAAGACCCGGTTCAGATTCTGGCCATCTCTTTGTAAAAGTGGGCCTTTGCTCCCCAGCTACAAAGCTCTTTCCCCGCCTGCCTGCCACGGACCCAGACACTCCTGCCTGCTTTAAGCTCGTGGCATCTCACAAGGCCTGTGTGTTCATGTCTCAATTTCCCTACAGCACTCTTGGACGGCAGGTATTGCCTCACGAATGGTCCTTGCCAAGTTTTGGGTGCAGGTGGCTTGAGGGACCTTGTGCGGCCCGCAGGGCTCAGCTCACCTCTTGGTTCTTTCTCCCTCTCTGGAACCACTGTTGCAGGTCGCTAGCCATGAATCCAGTGCAGAGACCCGAGATGTTCATCATCGGAGCTCAGCCTGTGTGTAGTCAGCTTCCGGGACTATCCCCAGGCCAGAGAAAGCTGTGCCAATTGTACCAGGAGCACATGGCCTACATCGGGGAGGGGGCCAAGACGGGGATCAAGGAGTGCCAGTACCAGTTCCGGCAAAGGCGGTGGAACTGCAGCACCGTGGACAACACGTCTGTCTTTGGGAGAGTCATGCAGATAGGTAAGGAGCTACCCACACATGGCTGGGCCGAAGGAACGGTACTGGCCCGGCCAGCGGGCAAGGAAGCTCTGTCAGGTCTGGCAGCACTGTGCAATTGAAGGGGCATCCAAGAGCATGTGCTCGTGATAGCTTGGAAGCAGTGGGCAAGGAGAGAGAGACACGTGCATTCACATAAGACAAAGAGCTGTCTTCGCTGCTAATGTATTAGCCATGCCAGGCAGGTGTTCCTGAGCTTCCTCTAGCCCTCCATGTGAAACCGAGCTTCGCCCTGGGTCGGGCTGCCTGTGACTCACTCTGCGAGGGGGTCGAACATCTGAGTCGAGTTAGTGGCTCAGGAAACCCGCCGCCCACCACCTCTGCCCTTTGTCTCTCAGCACAACAAGGGCCTTCTTTTAGGGCCTTGGCTCCAGGGCCGAAAATCCCAGCCCTGAATGTCTGTAGGCTTTTTTGCCTCTTTCACTTGGACTCTTGGGAGAGAGCTGAAACTCCCTGGCCGAATTGATGATAGCTGTCATTAACCCGACCCAGACCCAGTCCCGGCCTTTTCATTTGAAAGGGGCTGTGTGGAAAGTGGGGGCAGGGGACAGACTAACTACAGAAGAGAGATGAGAGGGCCCTGGCTCTTTCTGGATGCCTGCCCTGCCCGCTCTGCTCCCACAGCTGCTGGGGGGTGCCTAGGCCACCCTCTTCCTCTGCTGGAGGTGTGATCTGGGGGTTAATTGTTTTAGGTCCTTTTGAAATGCAGTCCTTCCCTCCCTGGCAAGAAATTGAGAAATCCGGCCCTATTCTAATGGGTCTGAGCCAAGGGGCCATAAAAGGAAGGTGTTCACAGCCTGTGGCCTGCCTGGCTCACATTCTCTGGGGACAGATTTCCCTCAAAAGACAACATTCAGGAGCCACCGGAAGCTGGGGCTGCTCCCAAAGACTTGATTTCAAGCTCAGAATAGGGTTCTGTGTGCCTTTGTATGTCGGACTCTTGGAAGCTCTCCCCACCCCTACTCGCTATCATTTTACTCCAGATGTCTTTCCTCTACCCACTCCCCGCCCCCCAATATAGAGCTATAAGGATGGGAGGGACAGTAGGCATGCATTTGAACGCTGCTGCTTTTCAGTATCCGCTAAAACGATGTTAAAGCACGTGCTCATCTTTGACACCCTTGTTGGTCTGCTTTCCCAAAGAGTGGGCATGGGAATTAAGTGAGATTGTTAACTGATCAAGTGTTCTTAAATCCACGTGGTATTTATCCCTTGGCCTGGGTGAAAGTCGTAGCCTTCCTCCCCTGCCCTGCTTAGGTGTAGAGACAGAGAACAGTCTCCAGTTAATTCCAGGGACCGCCGTGACACACATGGGAACATCACGCAGACCTCTAAGAAGCCGTGGCCGTGCTGGGGGTTACGTGTTGGGCTGCCAAGCACCGAGTTCGTGGTTTGAACCTGACAGCGCTGCTTAGGAGAGTTAGACAGCCAAATCCTGTAGAGATTTGCAGCCTCAGACACCCTAGGGAGCAAGAGCCCTTTGTCTAACACTATTCTGTTCTATGCCGTTCCACTACAAGTCAGAACTGGCCCGATGGCAGGGGCTTGGTTTGGTTAATATACGCCTGCAAGTCCCTAGGTGTGGTACAGATGGTTAAATATGTTCAGGTGCCAACTGAACAGTTGGAGGTTGAGTCTGCCCAGAAGCTCCTTGGAAGAAAGGCCTGGCATTCCACTTCTGAAAGAACTCGCCAATTAAAACCTGCCAGAGCACAGCTCTCTTCTGATACGGTCTGGAGATGCCGTGAGCCAAAGCCTACTGGGTGACAGTTGGTTTTCACTGTACAGCTGACATTGAACCTTTTCATGCCTTATGCTCTTTGAGAAAAGCCCCCAGAGCAAGACTTCCCCTTGGGAAATAAAGAGGTTGGCCCAAGTAGAAACTTCCTTGGGAAACTCAGCTTTGTAAGTGCAGTGACTTGTGGAAACCAACCATATGTCTCTGTATCCTATTCGATGATGACATGGGACCCATATCTTTGCCTTATTTTTATGACCCCTGTTTTTATTAACTCCCCTGCAGGCTTATGCTACCAGGGAAGCTGCCCTTCACCCCTTCCCCTGGGCCCAGAGTAGCTCCTGGTGAGTCTTCTCAACTGCTCCCTTGCATATGACTCCCCAAAGATTCCTTTTCTCCTCGATGCAGCTGCAAAAGCCAGCCACCAGAGGGTAGCAGAGCGGCGGCCTTGGCACTTCCGGGAACCTCTGCCCTGGGGAGCATGGAGGCCCCAGCCTGGAATTGTGTCGAGTCTAGAATAGAGAGGGCATGATACTGGTGGGCTGTCTCCTTGTAGGGTGGGGGTTGGGGGGTAGTGACTCAAGAGGATTCTCTCTAGTGGCTCCGTGGTGGCTGGTGCATTAGCCTTTATCCTTAAGGTGCTTGGAATTTCAACCCTGAATGGTTTCCCATGTAGATAACACTTGTATCCATTCAAATGCCCCTGATTACCTCTAGCTCCAGCACCTTTATTATACTAATGAATACAAAGGTAGTTTTTACTAATACCCTGGGTTTACACAGCCAGGCAGCATTATCCCTTCTGCTCCCCCCATCCAAAAGAGTTAGAGAAGGTGGCAGCATGAGACAGCTGACACATCTGGGGACAGATCGGGGTCCTGGGCCCCCTGGCTGAGCTGGAACTGCCAGAGCACATCGTGGGTGGTGTACATGTCCGGTGTTTAGCTGCAGGCACATTATCTCACCAGGAGTGCTGAGCACCCGGGGCTGGTTCTGAGAGCGATGATTCAGCACGGAGAAGCATGTTTGTTAGGGAATGGCAGCCGGAATCAGCATATGTAGCTCGGGAGAGCAAAGCTGAGAAGGCGTCATCGTTGTTTTCAAACACTGAAGGGCTGTCAGTTGGTAAAGGGTGGAGAGAGTGGATTTCCCCACTCTCTGTGGTGGGGAGACATAGTTCAGCTTACTGTAAGAAAGCCATTGTGGCGATTAGAGTCACTCAAAGAGACGAAGCTGGGCTGGATTGCTGGGGAACCATCGCCAGCTTCTCTGAGGAATGTGTGTAGATGGAATGCAGATCTGGAGGCTGCCTGCAGAGGCGTCTCCCTGCTCCTGTCTGGCTGGCGGCTACATTTTAGGAAGACTTCCCCGGAGTCACTCTTGGCCTTCCTACTACTCTGGGTACTCATTCCCATGGTCTGCTTCTCCCCCAGACCACTCCCTAGTCTCCGGCACTCTTGCCGTCAGCCCTGGTGACTGAATCATGTCGGGGTTTTCTTGGGCTACTTCTGTCCTGCAGCTGACCAGAAGCCAGTTAACGGAAGAAACGGATTCACCCCAGGTGCGCTCTGGTCGCAAACTTCACTGTGTCCCACCTAGATACGCAAGAAAGAGGCCAAAGTGGGAGGTCACTCTAGACCAGTGGTTCTCAACCTTCCTAATGCTGCAACCCTTTAATACAGTTCCTTGTTGTGGTGACTCTCCCAAAATAAAATTACTTTGGAAGCTATTTAATTACTGCAATTTTGCTCCTGTTATGAATTGGGCGACCCCTGTGAAAACCACCTAGACCTATTGGTGGATTATAGAGGGCTTACCTTGCCACCTGTGGGATGTCAACTTCTGATCACAAGGCACAGGAAGGGAGGGAGGAAATGGAGCCCGGAAGTCGCCACCACCCGGTTCAGTCTCTCAGATCCGGGCTGACTCTGGGTGTTCTGCTTTCCATATGGGAGTCCTTAGGAGAGTTAGTTACTCCAACAACCGTTGTTGAGCTGCACCCCCTGTCCCATACAGCCCAGCCTTGCTCAGTGTAGTTATGTGGTTCTGGTTACAGGCACAAGCGTTGGCGACCATCCCGCCGTGGGATCTAAAACATTTTCCCACCCTAAAAGGAAACCTTATCCCCTTAGCAGCCGCCCTCCATCCCTCCCTTGCCCAGGACCCGGCAGCCTCTCGTCTCCTTGCTGTCTCTGGATTTGCCTCTTCTGGACACTTCATTGAGTGGGACCCCACCCCAGTGGCCTTTCCGATCTGGCTGCTCCCGTTTAGCGAACTATTTTCTAGGTTCGTCCACGCCGTGTAGCACTTATCAGCACACTGTTCCTTTTCACGGCCAAGTCCTGCCCCGCCACGCGGCACACCACGTTGCAGTCACCCATTCGTTCATGAGTGGATGGGCGTGTTGGTGACTTCTGCCCCGGGGCTGAGTATGGATAATGCTGTAGTGAACATGGCGTGGGAGTTGTGGAGGTGTGTTTTCGTTGCTACTGGGTAGAGTTGTGGGTGCACTGGCCACGTGGTGTTTAACTTTTTTGAGGAACCGCCAGACGGCTGCATAAAAGCGGCTGCGTGATTTTGCATCCCCGCCCGAAACGCAGCGCGCAAGGGGTCTCAAAAAGCAGCGACTCGTCAGCGTCCGCCCGTCTCTTGATCACAGACATCCGAGTGGGTGTGACGGAGTCTCTTCTTATGGTTGTGATTTGCAGGAACCCGATGGCTCAGGAATATTCTTTTTTTTTTTAACACATTTTTTTTAGTAGAACGTATGTCCTGCAAGCTTCTAAGCAAATTCGCCGCATCAACTAAGAGGACTGGAGTTGTGATGTTGCTGCTGGGGAAATCACCCGGCTGTTTACCAGGCTGAATGTCTGACACTGCCCATGCGATTGGTGTGACTCCTCAGTGCTCCCAAGTCAGGGGCCGTGTGGACCCTCGGGCAGAGGGGACAGCTCGGGTCCCCGGGCATTGGGCTTCTGGTTTCCCTTCTGCTGCCGGGCTCTGCCTCTGTCTAGCTAGATAATGGCCCCCAATAAAAGGGACAAACGTGTGGCTCGTAGAGTGGTGAAAATCCCGTCTGGGAGGAAGACGATTTTGCTTAGGAGACAGCGTCTGATCGGTCAGTCCCTTAGGTGTGGAGTCAGTCTGGTTCTGTGGGTCCCACGTGCTCCCCAAATTCTTTCCCCTCCGTTTGGGCCTGACTCCGAGGGAATCACTGGTTGGAGAACCCTCTCGGGAATGGATCTCGGTGTAGGCCAGGGCTGGGGAGACTCATTTTAGTCCGGTCGTCTCCCAGGGCAGAGATGAGGCCAGTCGACAGGAGTGACCCACCAACTAAGGCCAGCTTGCTAGAGAGAGCCGTGGCTCCCATGAGCCCGGTGGACATGGGAGGAAGGCACTACGGTGCTGGCGCCCGCCCGGCAGAGGCCGAGGGGTGAGGGCCGGGAGCAGAGTCGAGCCCCTTCCTGACGTCCCTCGTTTCTCCTGCAGGTAGCCGAGAGACTGCCTTCACCTACGCCGTGAGTGCCGCGGGGGTGGTCAATGCCATCAGCCGGGCTTGCCGCGAGGGTGAGCTTTCTACGTGTGGCTGCAGCCGGACTGCTCGGCCCAAGGACCTTCCTCGGGACTGGCTGTGGGGTGGCTGTGGGGACAATGTGGAGTACGGCTACCGCTTTGCTAAGGAGTTTGTGGATGCCCGGGAGCGGGAGAAGAACTTTGCCAAGGGGTCAGAGGAGCAGGGACGAGTGCTCATGAACCTGCAGAACAACGAGGCCGGCCGGAGGGTAAGATGACCTCTCACCCCTGACCTCCAGCCACGCGGGCGTGGGGGGCCGGGGAGGAACCGGCGGGCGCTTCTTGCCTCTAATTCCTGACCTAGATGCCCACCTGTCGAGCTAATCCAGCCCATTTCCTGATGGACACGGGTGATGGCGCATGCGTTCACCTTACTTCTCTCGCTCAGAGTCTGCACGGATCCTCTGTCCCCACGGGCCTTAGAAGCGATGCTTGGGTTGGCATTCTAGACACGCGGAGCCATTCTTGCCTGGGCCTCCCCCGCTGTGTAGTTTGAACAAATAAGCCGACTGGGGGGCTAGGCTGTTAAACCTTGTCCAGGGTTTACGATTTGTTAAAGACGCAGGTAGAAACCAGAGCTGACTTTTAAGAGCTGCTATCTATTGTAGGTATCCAGGACCCCGGCCAAAAAGCCCATCCGAGCCCTAATGATAAACACACGTGTGGGTCAGGCATTTTTAGCATCAGCGCACGTACCGACGTACGGATGTAGGGGACTCCCATCTTCCAAAAGGCTCAGGCTTACATCTGACCCGCCTCGTGGCTCTCCTTCTGAGCCTCGATTTCAGTAGAAACGGAAACGAGAGATTTTTCTGAGGTGCGTTTGGTTGGCTATAGGAGCAGATGCAGACGCGGGGAGTCCCTGCGTGGTGTCAGCAGTTACGCCAAAGGGTGGAGGTTGAACCCCCCCAGAGGCCCCTCCGAAGAAAGGCTTGGTGACCTGCTTCTGAGAAAGTCAGCTGGGGAGCGCTGTGGAGTTGGTCTGAGTGGAAGTTGACTGGGCAGCCGGTAGCTCTTGCTGTCCCGCTGCAGGGCGTAGGGCATCCACTCTGCCTGGCAGAGAGGGCCTCTTCTCTGCCTACCTCTTACTCAGAGTGACCCCTCCTCTGGGCTCGGGCTCCGGCCTCTCCTGGCTTTGCTACTGCTTCGCAGTCGGCTTCTGCTGCTGGAAACCGGCCGTGGCGGGGCTGCTGGCAGCTCAGGGATGGAGGGCCGGTGGGTGCATCCAGATCCCCTCTTCGGAAGTGCTGAGGGCCAAGTGCTGGATGGTGGGATCCTCCCAGGGCCAGGGACAGCGACCTCCCCAGAGACAGCACAGAGTTGGCTCTGTGCTATGCCGGCCACCCTGGGCCAGGCCAGGTGTCATACATAGGAGGCTGGAGAATGAAGAAGCCAGGAGAACTACGGATACTTTTGTGTATACAGTTCAGTGACGTGAACCAGATGTATCACGTCGTGCGTTCATCACCGGCCTCTGTCTCCAGATGTTCCCATCATCCTTCCTCAGAGAATCGTAGTTTCTTCATAAGAAGTCAGCTCAGAAGGTTCATGTTGGTTCTCGGCGGCTCAGCGACAGGATACAGCTATGTTTCCATTACCGGTGAAGAATATATTTCTGTACATTGGAACAAGACTTCATGTGCTGTAGGGACATATCAAACCAAAGCTACCAGAGAGCTTCAGATCTTTCTATATTGGCTTGGTAGCACACGGGGCAGGAGACTTGGTGGTACGTTGGTTAAGCGCACACCGTTAACCAGAGGTTCTTAGTTCAAACCCCACAGCGACTCCACATAAGAGAGAGGTGGCAGTTTGCTCCATAAAAGATGGTTGCCCTAGAGACCCTCAGAGGCATTCATTCGGAGTTGTACTGTGCGTTACTTGGATCGCTCTGCGTCGGACTTAGTGGGGATGTCCGGAGTTCTAGTCAGCTCTGATCTGTGGCTGCTATGATGTAAGGCAGGGCCGAGAGACTGCACCCATCTCAGATGACCTTCAGCTCTGGGGCTCCTGGGTCCCAGGGCTCCATCCCCATCTGACAGTCCATTAGCCCCGAGTCTTTGGGACAGAGTCTGATGATGTCTAATCTGAAGGAGTAGAGTAGGAGATTAGTAAAGGGACGAAGAGCCTCACTTTATCTCCGGAATGCCCAAATTCCACCCACTTCTTAAGATCCCAGTTCAGATACTACAGAGAACATTCCCATATTGCCTTCTGGTAAGAGGTCACATTCACCGGAGGCTGCTTGGTTGCCTATGTCTGCTCCGAGCTCTCCTTGTGGAATTGTGGCAGATGGTGACTGGGCATCTATTCACCCTCTTGTGGGCCCTTTGGAGAGAAGGAGACAACAATCTCCCATCTCAGTGACAGTCTTGACCCCACTTCTGCTGGCTCCTCGGTTTATTGCCCTTAATTGTTTGTTTGTTTGTCCTGGGCCCTTATCTCAGCAGCTCCTTCCCTTCCATCTGCTCTGTGTCTCTCTTACACACCTTTCCTGTCTTCCTCTGTCTGCCACCCTGCCTTCTTGGGGTGGGGGTGGGGGTGGGGGCTTCCTCCGGTCTCCACACCTCTTCCCTTTGTCTCTCCCTTTGCCTCTCTGCTCCAGGTTGGGACTTCCTTTGGTCTCTTTAAAAAATTTTTTTTCTCTCCAAGGAACAGGCCTTGGCCATCAGTCACCAAAAGTGTCTGTCCCCCACCTCCTCACACTACCTGGAACGTCCCCCTGGAGGGACGGAATGGGCGCAGGGATGGGACACCCCCTTGTAGTTGACGACCAGCATCTTGATCATAGACTGTTCTCTTGCTTTTCAGAGTCTCTAGCAAAGTCCGTGGTAAATCCTGGTGGCCAGACTCGGGGTGGGGGTGGGCTGGTATTGTTGGGTTACTCGAGGGTCCTTAAGCATTTTCCAAATAAAAGCGCCCTCATCTTCCAGACATTCCTGCGTATTACCAAGCTCAGCCACTCAGTCTCACCATTAGACAGGAATGGAAGAGGAACTGGTGGGGAGGGGGGGGGCTTCTCTGTGAGGTGGGGGGATATAGAGCATTTTATGGCTTTTTCTGTTAGTTGCAAGGACAAACCTTTGTGATTCTCTTTCTACAAGAGGATCTCTCTCTCTCTCTCTCTCTTTCTCTCTCTCTCTCACACACACACACACACACACACCATATTATCAGTAGTAAAAGATTCAGGAAGAAAATATAAGTAGCCTGCTTACACTATGTCTCTGTGAGAGGGATGGTGGAAGGTAGGTGCCCAGCAAGGGCCCTGGAAGGCTCTCTCAGGAATTGGCTGGAAGGCTCTCTCAGGAACTGGCTTCCATGGATCCTTGCTTTGGCCCCTCCCCCAGCCTCCCTAAATGCTCACTCCCCCTGGAGATGCTTATCCTGTCCGCTTAGTCACTCAGTGGCCTGCCGACCCAGGGACACTGCTTTAGACTGTTAGTGCTTGCTCCTTTCAGCAGGGCCAGATGCTGGTCATCCCTGCCTAAACCAAGGACCGTTTCCAGAGGAATGTCAGGCCTCGCAGAGCAGACCCAGACCCCAGGGGATTTGTGGCAGAAGGATAATTGCAGGCTGGGCTTTGAAGTGCCTGTTGGAATGGGGTGTCAGTTCCTTTATGCTGGTGCCTGGAGCTTCCAGGCTAAGTGCTGGTGCCGTTAACCTTGGGGAGGGGCCTTCCTTTCTTTAGGGGACCCTTAGCCATCTGAAAGCTCTGTGATTGGACAGCTGCACAGGTAGTCATTCAGACGCCCTCCTGGGTGGTCCTGGCCAGGTAATTGAACATCCCCCCCTGGGGTCTTTCATTTCCCTGTCATAGTATAGCAAGGATGATTTCATACCAGAAAAAGAAAATGAAAAGAGAGATTGGGAAGAGTGTTGACAGTAGTCATTGGAGCTGGTGGTGACACTAGTTCTGGCTCCTGCCGTGGTCTCTGCAGAGAGCTGGAGAAAGACTGGTCTTGAAAGGAACGCTCAGAGAACCCCCTGAAAGGCGAGGCCTGACTCGGTGGGCCCACAATAGCTGTGGCCTCAGGATGGGCTCTGCGGCGGGCTTGCATGTTTCTCTGCCATCTGCGTGGCCCTGTCAGCGACCACAGGTGGGGTCACACAATGCCTCAGGATGTTTTCACTGCAAAGCATTTTATTTTGTAAGCAGCTTTCACCTACTTCTGAAATTCGCATGCCAGATAACCCAAGTTCAGGTCCGCTCCAGGTGGTTGGGGTTGAGGACCACCTCTGTAGACACTGTTTCCCTTCCATTCCATGGGGGCTCACCCTTCTTTTCCACCTGCGCACCTCACTTGGGCACCAGGGGGTGGAGGACAGAGGACTTGCTCACACATATGGTGTGTGTGTGTGTGTGGGGGGGTGTTGTTGGGTGCCCGGTCCTCACACGGCTCCTCTGTCTGAGCCGTGGTCAGACTGACGCTGTCCATCCATCTGCTTGAGGCCCTTCCTCTTCCTCTCTGCCCTCGACTCTACCAAGCATGATGTCCTTCTCCAGGGACTGGTCTCCCCTGACATGTCCAAGGCACGGGCGGCCACGTCTCGTCACCCTGCCTCTGAGGAGCCCTCTGGCTGTACTTCTTCCAAGACCAATCGGGTTGACCTTTTAGCCGTCCACGGGAATTTCGGTATTCTTCTCCAGCACCCCAGTTCAGATGCATCGGTTTTTCTATGGTCTCCTTTGTTCAGCGTCCAACTTTCACGTGCATGTGCACAAGGAGGCCCTGAAAATGCCGTGGCCTGGGTCAGGCGTGCCTGAGTCCCTCAGGGGGACACCCCGGCTTTTCAGCTCTCTACGTAAAGAGATCTCGTGCAGCAGATTAACCCAAGGCGACGACTCGTCCGTGGCCTCTGCTTCCATGAGAACTGACTATGGATTCAGGATTAACTGTATAGAGTAGGTGGCCAAAGGGTAACAGAAAAAGGGACCGTTTGATTCTTGGGGTGATTTGGCCAGGTTTGTGAGGATTGCTGTGTGTTAAGGGGCCTTGCCAGCGGCTTCTTTGTAGCCCTGCAATCCAGTCCAATGCCCTCTTCTGATTTGTGCCCCATCTTAGGTAATTTACACCTGGGCACCATGTCCCTGGCTTGGCTTTCCTTTGTTTGCTTGAGAATTTGATAAAGATGCAAGTTCTCACCTTCTCCACCTCCCCCCCCCCCCAAATGACTCCTAGGTAGCGACTTGTACTAGGTGTTAAGAAGACAGGCATAAAGTAGAAATAGACGTGTCCCCCTTGCTGCTCTGGTACCTCCCCCTCCCCCCACAGGTGGTGCTCGCCCCTCCTGTTGGAGCAACTTGAGGATTCCGGGGAAATTTTTGTATATTTGGGAAAAAAAGAAAAACACCGTCTCCTCCACCCCCCACCCTGATCGGCCCCCTCTGCCCTTGGTTCATGGCTACGCTGCTCATGCGGTCCGCGGGGGACTCTCCCTCTGACCCCGTCTCTCTCCCCTCTCAACCCCCAGGCAGTGTATAAGATGGCAGACGTAGCCTGCAAGTGCCACGGCGTTTCGGGGTCCTGCAGCCTCAAGACCTGCTGGCTCCAGCTGGCCGAGTTCCGCAAGGTGGGGGACCAGCTGAAGGAGAAGTACGACAGCGCCGCCGCCATGCGCATCACCCGCAAGGGCAAGCTGGAGCTGGTCAACAGCCGCTTCAACCAGCCGACGGCGGAGGACCTGGTCTACGTGGACCCCAGCCCGGACTACTGCGTGCGCAACGAGACGACGGGCTCCCTGGGCACCCAGGGCCGCCTGTGCAGCAAGGCCTCGGAGGGCATGGACGGCTGCGAGCTCATGTGCTGCGGCCGCGGCTACGACCAGTTCAAGAGCGTCCAGGTGGAGCGCTGCCACTGCAAGTTCCACTGGTGCTGCTACGTCAAGTGCAAGAAGTGCACGGAGGTGGTCGACCAGTACGTCTGCAAATAGCCGCCGGGGCGGCCCCACACAGAGTCTATATTATATAAATCTATATAAATCTATTTTATATTTGTATAAAGGAATAGATTGGGCTGGGGGTAATAATTAAAAGAAGTGAACGGAAAGGAAAAGCTTATTTAAAGAGATGCTGGAGATGTTTGAGGACCGGGGGTTCGGCCGGTCCTCGAGTCTCAAGGGGATGGGGGGAGCGGGTGGGAGGGGGGCTGCCTCCTCCCCCACCCTCCCCGGTGGAGACACTCAGGTTGGAGGGCCTTGGAGAGGTTTGCCGTCTACACGCGTTGCCCCAGGAGAGAGGTGGGGCTTAAATGGAGGAGTCATTCATTGGTGGGTGTGTGACTGCCCTGAGACCCCCGAGGCCCCGTGGAAGGAGGGAGGCAGGAACTCAGCCTGAACCTGCAGGTCTTCAGGTTCTGGTGCCGGATGATACCGACAGGTTCAGGAAGAGGCCTGCTGCTTTCTCACCCGGCCGCTTCCACACAAGTTTGCAGAATCCACAGTGCCGGGAAGGGCTCCTTGCTCAAAATGAGTGGTCTCCGGCTGTCTTCCACCAGGCGACCACACACCTGAGGAGGCGGGGCCCTCGTCTCCCACACACCTGAGGAGGAGGGGCCCTCGTCTTCCACGCCTCCCTACTCCTGCCACCAGGTCCCTGCACCAAATGGCAAGGGGGTCCTCCGACCTGATGGTTTGAGGAAGGACGTGGACCTAACTGGTTGTGCCTGGGCTGCAAAAAAGCCCAGGTGCCTCGCTGAACGGAGGGACATTACGCTGTCCTCTCACCCGGGGAGAGGACACTTGCGATACTGCTGCTGTCACCTCCCTCATCGAGGGAGGCCTCGAGGACGGACCACCTGGAGATGTCGCAGGGCCTGGCCCGGCGGCGGCGGCTGACCTGGCTCAGTCTCCTCGTCACGGCCCCAGATGTAGTTTCCCCACGGCATTAAACACCCTTTCCTGCGTCCTTGCGGCTGCTCCTTATTTGGACGCTGGCTCCCCTGTCGCGAGCCTCCTTTTGGCCTCTGTCGGACCCCGAGAGCTCTGCGTGCCTCGCGGTGCCGGTCACACAGAATAAGGTTGCCCGGACTTTCTCCGGCTCCAGTCTGCTGATTGGAGAGAGGACCAGGAGAATCCTGTGGGAATAAAGTAAGATCATGCAGGAAAGGCCCACCCCCAGGCTGGGCACAGCATTTAGCAGTAATACACAGGCGGTGTAATGAGTCAGCACCCACTCAACTATTCACCGAAAGGTTCGGAGTTCAAACCCAGCCAGAGGAGCCTCGGAGGGGGGAGATGTCTGCTTCTGCGAGGTCATTTGTCTTAAAAGCCTTTACATGTAAGGAGCTGTCCGGCCAGCACAGGGGCGTTGGGGTCCGATTGATAGCAACTTAGTAAACAGCCTTACTGGGAGGAGCCACCCGTCACAATACCACCCAAGAGAGTTCCTTTCCTTTTCCATTGTTGACCGCTGCTGAGTTAGTCCTTCCTGAGCCCTTGGTGAATCCTGGATGGGCCAAGGGGTGCTCGCTGCAGGTGTGCCTGTGCTGCCCCCTCCGCTTTGGGCCCCAGCATCTGGGGCTGGCAGAGGGAGTGGGCTCGGCAGGGGAGCGAGGGAGAAGCGACTTCCTGAGAGGGAGGCGCCGCCCCAGCCTGCAGATGAGCCAGGAAGCACAGAAAGACACCGATTGCTTGTAGGAGACTTTATTTCTGGATAAGGAAGGGAATTAAGTCATCAGCTTGGGTTCTGGTGGGCAGCTGGTTTTGTAAACCGGTCTGTGGGAAAGAGCTTCTGCCCTCGGGTTATCTGTGAACTGGGGGACTGGTTCGGAAAGAAGAAACCACCTGAGACCTCAAGCGACATCAGGCCCAGGGTGGTGTGAGCTGTGGCTTCACAGCAGGAGCCCCATGGTGTGGTGGGTTACAAGTTGGGCTGTGAACGGCAGGGTCAGCTGTTTGAGCCCACTCGTCCCTCCATAGGAGAAAGAGACGGCTTTCTGTTCCCGTAAAGCCTTGGAAACTCAGAGCGGGTCATTGTGCCCTGCCCTATATGGTTCCTCTGAGCCTGAATCCACTCAATGGCAGTGAGTTTGGGGGGCCTGTGCCACACCGGGGTGAGCATCGGCTGCCACCCATGAGGTGGGCGGCTGGAACCAGCTCCCAGCTGCTTCGCAGGAGAAAGATGCGGCAGTGTGCTTGCTTCCATAGAGCTGCGCAGTCTTGGACACCCGGCAGAATGGTTCTACTCGGCCCCATGGGGTGCCTGTAGGTTAGGCCCGGCTTCGTGGCAGTGAACTTGGTGTGGTCCGGTTGTTCGCCCGCTTACCCAGACTCCATTCATCGACATTTTTAAAGCTTGTAACTGTGAAATCAGGTCATTGAAATGTCAGACAGGTCAACCACGGTCCTCAAGAGTTTGAAACTCTGCCCGGCATGGCTTGTTCCTGGATCATGGTTCTGGAAACCCAAAGAGTGGCTTTCTTTCAAGTGTTCAACATCTCTGCGCGTGAAAGCCCATGGCATCCTTAGAGACCTTAGGGCAATGGTCCACAATCCAAGACGTATTCCTATTCATAAAAGGGAAACGGATGATCCCTACCCTGTCCAGAGACTCCTTCCCAGTCAGGGCAAGGAGAGAAAGTAAATGAACACCCCCACCCGCTGGGGAACAAGCCGTTTGTTCAAATACCAATGGGTTTTTTCCCTGTTTGTTCGGTTCAGGTCTGTCATTTCAAAACTAGTTTGGGATGAAGTTTTCTGTGGCTGCCACATGCTTGTTGAATCCCGAGAGTTCCCTGAGAAGGGACAGGTCACACTGTGGGAACGTGGCTGGAGTGTCTGTAGACCAGCCTGAGAGAATGGAGCTGTGGGACAGCAGAGCTGTGGGACAGCAGAGCTGGGGGCCATGGCGGGCTCCTGGGTTTCCAGTCGTGACCTCCCAACTCTGGAGCAGATCCCCAACCTTACGTGCTTGCAAGAACGCAGTCATCAGCCCCCAGCAGCAGGCACTTTTATTCCTTTGGCTCAGCAGCCAGCCTGGAAAGATGTTTTCTTACAGGGACTGGGGAGGACTCACTCTGCGTTGGTGGTCTGAGACGACGCTTGGAACGATGGGTGTCTGCAGGCCTGTAGGCAAAAAAAAGCTAGCTCAAGAGCTTCAGGGAGATATGGAGCTAGGCCCTGACTCCAAGCTCTTGGCAGCCCTGTGCAGGATTTCTTAGAATCTGCAAGTTATTATAACCTGCATGCCGCTGTGGAAAGATCAATGCCCTCGTTGGGTGTCATGCCAGGACCAAGCTGTCTTAGTCACCCCAGGGAGCCTTTTTGATCAGCAGGGAAGGGCATTCTGGCACAGAACAAAACTGATTTGCCCAAGGAGGGTCCACCCTCTCCATCTGTAGGGACATGCCTACAGAGCCCATCCCTGAACGATTATAAAAACAGCTGCCATCTGAGTGGCAATCTCTTCTGGGTCAGAGGAGAATGTGCCTTATGGGGTTTTCAGTGGATGATGGTTTGGAAATGGATTGCCAGGCCTTTCTTTTGAGGTCCCTCTGGGTAGAATCAAACCTCTCACCTTTTGGTTAGCAACCAGAGCATGTAAACTGCACTCCAAGCCAGGCACTATTTACGCAGCTGTCTGTAGACATTCACCTTGTATTTCTTTCTGTCTTTTTAATCATTTCATTGGGGGCTCATCCAGCTCTTATCCCAATCTATTTGTCCATCCATTGTGTCAAGCACATCTGTACATTTGTTGTCATCATCCTTTTCAAAACATTTTCTTTTGACTTGTGCTCACCTTGTATTTCAAGATAGGATTAGGAGAAAGCTTTGCCTCTGTTTAAAAGTCGGGGTGGATAGTGGGAGTGTAAGGAAGCACTCAGAGCTCGGCTTACGGTTAGGAGGCCCAGAGTAGCTGTTCAGTAAACGTTGGCCTGCTGTCTGCAAGGTTAGTAGTTCAAATCCACCAACTGCTCAGCTGGAGAGAGAGAGGGCTGCTCCTGTAATGCTCTGTAGCCTCAGAAAGCCTCTAAGAGTCAGACTCGACTGGGTAGCAGTGGGTTTTCTGTTCTATTCATAAGAGCAACCTGAGCAAAGTCTCTCATGAGTGGATTCTTCAGTCCTAATTCAGAGGGCTCCTTTATGGCACCCTGGTGGGAGAGTGGTGGCTTAGATCTGTAACCCCAGGAGCCCCGTGGAGCAGTCCTGCCCTGTCCTATAGGGCTGCTGTGAGCCAGAATGGGCTCAAAGGGCACCAAAATTGAGCTACCATCTGCTCCACGAGGTGAGAAACACAACTTGCTTCTTGTGTTAAAACCTCCAAATTGGCTGTTGCCTTTGAAATTCTGCCCTGCTTCTTCTCTTTAATCTTGAGGATCCTGTTTAAGCTCTGAGGAGCTAGCCAGGCATCCTGTGGCTGAGATCGCTTCGCCTGATAGAAACTTTACAGCTGTAGAAGCTTATCAAGAAAGAAGCCGGAGCAGGCAGAGAGCCACACCACCCAAGAGGAGGGAAACATAGCTGTTTCCATCTTAAAATGGGCGGCTCTGAAACTTTGCCAGACTCTGGCCACATGCATTGTGAAAGAATCTGTGTGTGTGTGTGTGTGTGTGTGTGTGTGATGGACACCCAACCCCCAAACGACCCAACCTACTGCCGTTTAACCAACTCAGAGACACCCTAGGTAAGGTTCCCAAGGTGAGCTCTTCAGAGGCACCTTTCTCCCTCGGAGCGGCAGGTAGGTTTGAACCACTCCCCTTGAACTTGGCAGCCCAGCACTTAACCCACCTCGCGCAGGAGCAGACGGTTCCTTTGTTCCGGGAGGAGTTGGTGGGGAGGCACCCGAGGCCTGGAGTGTATAGAACAAGCTAGCAGAGAACTGTCACTTCGGGCTGAGCTGCTGCAGGACCTGGGTGGTGTAGCCCAATTCGAAATCTGTTTTTCCATTGGCTGGTGAGGACGCGCCTTATCTTTAGACGGAAGGTCGAGAAGGTCCAGGTTGCTAAGTATTGTTTGTTGTTAGGTCTAAGAATCCCTCATTGTGTGTAGACGAAAATACTATGTAAAGGATGCCTCAACCCCCGATTTTTGCCGAGAACTCTGGGCATGGGGCAGCATTTGCCCATACCTAGCCGGAGTAAGAAAGCGCCCAGGCAGGAGGATCGGACAGACACCAGGCACTCTGGGAGCAGGCTGAGCGGGCTCATTGGTAGCGCCTTGCTTTCTCCCTCCTGCTGCCTGCTTTCGGGGGCAGCCACCGCTCACCTGCGACGCCACCGGGGTGGCAGCATCGCACGAGGCAGGGGCTCGTGGACGCTCTGGCGTGGTTTTGATAAATAACGGGGGTAGGGGTAGAATGAGATTAAACAACAACTCTCTGTGAATGTAACTGCCCCATGGGCAGGTCCGTGATACGGGTTAGAGCGTTATTGAGATGGCAGTCTCGCCAACTTAGTGGACTCCTGGCAACCCAGTGCGGGAGGGACCAGAATGCCATCTGCTTCCTTACCATGCCTTTGATGGGTTGCATATCAGAACGTCATGACCCAATGGGTTTTATTGGCTGGTCTTCAGAGGTAGATCACCAGGCTTTTCGTAGCCTGGAAGCTCTGCTGAAATGCAATCAACATCAGAGAAACATGCAAGCCTCCAGTAACAGATTAGTGGTAGCTGCACCTTAGGGTGCAGAGAGCTGAAATTGAACTTGGGCCTCCTGTAAAACTCAACTCACTAATACCGCGTCGATACAGACTCACAGAGACCCTGTAGGACAGGGTAGAACTGCCCCTGTGAATT